TAATTAGGTAGCTTTCCATTTCGTCCATCCTTTTTGCACGGTTAGTCATTTTTTATTATATTTTTAAACCACTCAGAATCATCACATTGGACTGCTTTCAAAATGCATTCCATATATCCTCATGTGACAAAGTTTTATGCTATACACGACATTAAGCACCATGAATAGTATATTATTTTCAGACAAATATATGATGGAGGAGAAAGTCTAGAATGTGTTTGGATAATAGTGTTGACAACTTTGTATATGTTTGCTTTACATGGGTGGCTGGCAACTGTCATACGAATTTGATTAGTAACGGATTAGTCATATAATATTGTATTAATTTCAAGAAGATAGTTAGCTTTGTCAATGGAGAAACGAGAGTTGAATTTGAAAACCCATTTACTCGGATTATAAAACTAATGTGTCTCAATGGAATTCATTCGGTAATCAAATATATATAATATGTAATAGAGGATAATCATTCTCTTTTTTAAATTTCTCACTAACATATCACTTTAAGGTTGAAATTTTAAATATCCAACTTGAAGTTTGTTGAAAGCAAAGAACTCAAATAAGCCTAACTAATATATGCATATTGAATTTAAAAGATTAAACTATTAAGTTTATGAGTTTCCATGTATATATTATATTTATATATCATCACGTGATTTTAATGTGATATTTCACCACTACATATTTAGTAAACCCAACAAAATTTCGTAAGCCTTCATCTTATTAAAACTCAAAAGCATGTTATGAATTAATTAGTAATTCAGAGTTTGCAAGGGCCTTTTTCTACCATTTTTCTATCCTTCCTTTCCTCTAATAAGTCAATGAATTCATGCTAAATGCATTCATTGTGTTGACCTCCATGTACTAAAGGCAAGTAGAATGGAGGAGCAAAAATGCTAAGGAGTGGTCATTGACTAAACCCCAACACAATTCCTGAATTAAAACACACTAAAAATGAGTAAGACATTAACAATGCTTGAAGCTCTTGTAAGATTACCTCTCCTGCCGTGCTGGCCACCACCGACCACCGGCCACCGCACCGGAACCCCATCCATTATTTTACCATTTTTCAATGCAAGCACAAGAACATAATTTTTTTTTTCCTGTACGTCCGCACTAATATATATTTGGTTTGATCAACAACATGAATAAGTATTCCTTGTCTAGATCCGTATCTCCGTCCAGAAATTTGAATTTGTAATACATGTTAAAAGTATCCAACGTAAAATCAATTATAAATGAAGATGTTAAACTTATAATTAAGACAACGAAAATGATATAATTATAATATCACATAGTATTATAAATTTTTATTCTTTTTATAAAATGTAATAGTGAAATTATAATTATATTAATAATTTAAGTAGTTATAATGCAAGTTATACCCTGCCAAGTATAGCCATATAGGCTCTACAAGAAATAGAAAATGCTAGAAAGGACCAATGACACTATAACACATAGAGTTAAGTGTTTTCTACAAACAGAACTATTAGGAATTGAGAGCCTCTAAAACTAGTATATATCATAAAGGTATTAATAAAGTTATATGTAACGACATAGAAAGATTACTATAGAGCTTATGGTTGTTGTTGGTAATCATATCTATTTTACCATCCAAACTTAGATGCAATGTCTCCCAACACTAATGTTCTATCCAAACTTAGATGATTTACTAAGCTATAGATGGATGAAAAAATCCACCTGCACGGCCATTACATTAATTACTTGAATCATGAAACCTCGCTTTAGGTGCGCTTCCATAATTAGTTGCATCAAGTTCCAACTTCCTCTTTTCCACCCTCTCCCTTTCCTTGCTCAGTGATTGGATCAAACCCTCTCTAACCCTTTTCCATGTCTTCTATGGAACATGATTTGTCTTCTTTGTTCTAGGCTCATAGGTCCAACCACCCTCACGGTCAAACATTGCCAGTAAACCTAAGGTATTGTTGCACTTAAGATGGATCCAAAGATATTGTTTGTAATTTTTTTTTATCAGCAAAACAAATACTTTATTAATATTTAATATTTAATGGAGCACAAGGGGTACTCCTGCCCTTCTATAGAGAGTCTAATATGCTTACACTCCCAAAAAAAACATAAAAGGAACTTCCGCACAAAAGCATATTGTTTGTAATTTTGAGGCTCAAACAACAGCATAGGCAAAGACAATGTTGGGGTATGAGATGTGTAGCTAAGGGGCTACACGACTTTAGGGCTTGCGTGACCAACATGAAGGAGGAAAGGGACCAATGTGACCAATGTGGAGGAGAAGGTGGCTTGCGGCATTGGGGAAAGAGAAGAAAAGAGAAGGCTCCTAATAAGAGGAGAGGAACCCTAAGGAGAGAGCCTAACCTAATTCTAATTTAGAAGTAATAATGGTATTGTAAACTTATAACATAATATATTGTTATTTAATTGGCTCTTTTCACCCAAAAGTACACCCATAATATAATATGAATTAACTCATTTAATAATACATTATGATTGTAAACTTACAAATCCGACCTGTATTGTAACTATAGCATTGTTGTTATTGTTAAGACACCAAGAAATCCCCAAACTTTATTAATGTGAGATTTTTCCACTTAATGTCCATTCATCCCCTGCATATATTGTTGGAAAAATGACACAAAATATGACCGCATGCACTTTGAATGCCAAAATAAAGTACCAGTTTATCCAAGTGAAAATGATTAGCAAAATATCAGATACTGATAAGAGGCAACAGCAGAAATTCCCTTATAGAAATCCAAGTATTGGGCTGTGACAAGGTTGCTGGTACTTGTAAGGGGATAGTTTGAGTAGAAGTCTTACTAAAGCAAAGTAGCAGTTTTTTTCCCCTTTCAAGAAAAGCAAATCTCCTTTTTGGTTGACATAGACACTTGATGATTGTCCACCATTGAAGAAGAAGAAGAAGAGCATCCTCAAATTTGCATATCAGTATTGGATAGAGAGATTACAAGATTCATTAATTCTTCAGTCAACTTGTCCAACTATCATGGAGAACAACCTTTTTCCTTGATGTAGATCCTTATCAAATTACTGTTACTTAGGAATCTTACATCTTCTCTTCTTTTCAATTTTTTTTTTTAAATTTTTGAAAAACAAAAGAATTTATTGTTATTAAGTGAATACAAGGGATACTCATGCCCGTAAACACATTGTAATTGCTTCAATGCCTATCCCCTATACACACATTGCATTATCTAACAGTAACAATAATGAACACCAAAATTAAGAGAATTCATGAGGATTTTTCTTTTCTTTTCTTTTCTTTTATTAACATGATATCTAGATCTCTGGCTTGACTAGTCCTGGAGTGGTCCATATGGGATGGTTTGACACTCTAGTAAATTACAAAAAAACAGAAGGATCTAGAGTGACTCAACTTTCATATCATCATGACCATCATAACACAAGAGAAAATCATTTAAACCAGATAATCAAATTGCAAAGGGGAAGAGAAAACTAATGCAGGCCTCAGCCTTTGAGTGGGGAACATGGAAATGCATTAAGTGTTGCAACAAATAAGGAAGGGCCAAGACCTCTAGATCATACAAAACTAGTGGAGCCTGGTTATTATAAAACATTGATAGAGACACAACCACTAAGATCATCCAACAACCAAAACAAAGAATAACAATAGTGGGATTTGTATCACACAGTACTCAGTTGGATTTTTGCTTTTGGTGGGTGGGTCTATATAAGTTCCTCTCAAAGACCTACCCTATTTCCCTAATGAAATTAAAATTAAAATTTATTGGTTCATGATTTGGAATGTTCAACCAATGATTTTGAGATCTGGAAAATTTTGTGTTAATTGACGTCACCGTGCGAATATTTTATAAGTCAATTTTCAGAAACTCCATAATTGAATTCGTGTAATCCATTGAAAGCTCCATTAGAGAAAGCTTCGGTAGCATTGCTTCTTCACAGTATGAGCACTAAAATCATGACAATATCTAAAAGGCAAATGGTGTTTGAATATGAGGAAATAATATTGCCGAGAAGCAAACTAAGAGGTAAGCAAAATTAATGCATACTCCAACGCAAATGTTGTATTTTAATTTCATGGAGAAATGAAACTATATGATTCCTTTACAGATGGTATTAAGTAACCTGATAATATTGGTTCCTTCTTCTAAAATGATTAGAGATGCATGCTTGGGATAAGATACAAGATAAAGTGGGATGCATTGTAGCTTCATCTTTTACTTCTCTATGTGGGATATGTCAATGCATGTCATTGCCAATAATGTTGAGCGAAATTGGCATGTCACTTGACGATCATGACGTATCCAATTGTCTTCCCAACATGGAAGGTCCTACCCGGTAGAAAATTACTGTAAAAATCATTCATCAAATCATCATTCCCTGTTAATTAATCTTTAAGGGGATGAAGAGGACAATATAGGAACACTTGAAATGACGGCACCTATGGGTTGGTCAAGTGCTGGAAAACAATCATACTCAAGGAGTGGTAACTTAGTTATCAGAGATTTGTTCCTCATCTTATTGATCAAATTTAAAATTTTGAGGAAGTTAATAAATAAGTAATTCCTCATAAATT